GCGAAGTCCCTGTGTTGCGCCGGCCTGCCACATCTTCCCAGCCATTTTTAGGACAATCCTGTACCTGGGGAACAGGCTCTGATGTGGCAGCAGTGGGTTTCTGGTCTCTTTTTTTCCTCCATGGGCGAAACACTCTCACCTCTTTCTTCTCAAGACCCATGGAGATCAGTTTTTCCTTCAGTGTTTTCAGGATGAAATGCATGTTTTCTTGTGGCAATGGACTCCATGTTGGGGTGAATGGTGAAGTGAAGGAGGTCTTGGCTAGAATCTGCCGTTTGATTTCCTTCTTAACTGGGATTTTTGGAGTGGACATACCTCCTCTAGAAGTACAAAACAAAAAAACATGGTCACAAAAAGGAATAAGTGCCCACCAACCAACAGAAATTGACTTTAAAATCAACAATACATAAATGACAGAAGTTACTCTGAAGATATTTAGGTCCTTGCAATAAAATGTTTTAATAAAACGTAGTGAATTGTTGGACCGCCAGACTAAACATAGAGACCATATATGTTTAAGATTTCACAGAGTATTTTTATGTGAAATGACCAAAATGTCCTAATTAATAGGTAGCCTACACAGAATACTGTATGTAACATGCTGATATGTTTGTAACTTCATGGAAATAGCAGTCTGCTAAAGCTTTACATAGTGCTAGTGCCCCACCGGTGGAAGACTGGCTAATCGTAGCAGATACACCGTGGTATCTTTCACCGCTGGTTATCAATAATGGAAATATAACTAATAATGTGACTAATGACGCCAACATCAAACCAGACCTGTATGATCACACCTCTGTAAAGTGTTTATAAAGGCCAGAGAGACAGACACAGGCATTCACTGTCAATTTCACTCTAATTCGATTACTTTGAGAAGATTACTCAAACATACGCGTTTTTATTTATCAGAAACATGACAAACAACATCACATTAAAATAACGCTACTTACCTGTTTCTAATGCAGTAAAACGAGTTTGTTTTCTTTCTGAAATGGGCAGCCTTCCCTCAGCGCTACAACACGGATGGACCACAGGTAGCCGCCATTTTCTTTAAATTTAAATAACTTTATTTAAAAATTTCGACAGCGCCGACCAGTGTTCAAAGGGCAGTGTATCATGAAAAACATATAGGCATATGCTTAGAAAGAAAACATTTATTGTCTGTTTATACATTTCTAATCTATAAATGGTTAGGGTAGGGTTAGGGTCACTTGTCGGACATGGATGTTATTTAAAAAATCCAAAGATGTTTTCAAACATTTCTTAATGTTTCTAATGAAATTGAAACAAAGTCTTTATTTTATCCAGTATAAAACATTGGCGTAAAACTTGTTCAGAAGTAGACTACCCCAAGTTATATTAGCCTGCTCCATTACAAGTAAGAGTCCTGCATATAAGGTAAAATTATAGCCTAAGTAGAAAAATCTGTATCAAAAGTGAAAACAAGTAAAAGTTTTTATTATACAGAAAATGTAGGCTATCCATTAGGTTGTGCTTTCTAGTATTATTTATGTATCGTGTTTTCAGTAGCACTACTGTTGTGTGTATGAGGTTTTGCTTATTGTCGCTACTGTGTGGTGGTTTATAGCAAATATTTTAATAACACAAGATAAACATTTGTTGTATGTATTGGTGTGATGTATTGTAGTGAAGTCGCATTACGCTAAAAAGTCAGAATTACATCTACTAATACAATATACCTTAGGCTATGTTTTCAGTTACAGGCTGTCTGTCTGTGCGTGCGCGTGCGTACGTCGCAGTGAGTGATGTCGACACGAGGCCAATCAGCTCACGCGCCCCCTTCCCTCTATGCCTGTCCGTGGCCGACAGTGTTGTTCAGTTGTGTTGCAATTACAGCTGCTCTCCAGCTTCACGCAAGAGAAATACGTTAATCTGAATTAACGGGCTGCATCTGCGAAATGTCTCTTCAGGTAAACTATTATTGCTTTTATTTCCATCTTATTTTTTTAATAACGGGGATTCTTTGTCGCTGTGAAATGAATCGTGGTTGTAGCGGGAGAATGTTCACGCCATCTATGCGTCATCCATCTTTGAAAGCGTGTGATTGTTAAATGTAAGGAACTCGAGTCTAAACGCGTTTATCCTCGGGCTCTGTGGTCATTTTGATGCTGCAGCTACTAAGAATTAAGTTTAATTATGCAGGATTAGAAATACCAAACGAGATCCGACTCTAAGAACGTGAAAGATTCCCTATTTTATTGTTCCATATAATAGCCTATCCGTTTTGAATATTAATCAAGGTTTCGATATTAATATTTCTTAGTGTAGTAATCTTGTATAATATTGTAGTATTTTAAATGGTTTATCTGAAGTCACATTACAGGTTTTTGTCTATCCTAAAAGGGGTTTCCTGGTCTATAATTATCTGTTCTGCAATGCCCCAGGTCCTTTGTTAAAAACAGATTATTCAGGCACAAAACTCTTGAATAAAAAAAGCCCATTGTTTATCTCCAGCTTGTGCAACAATAGGTTTCTCTGCTCTACACTATGACAAGAATACTAGTATGAAATTTCTTTTTCAGTGTTGTCTATTAGCTATTTAATATGCACATTTTGATATTCTGTGATTACTACACACCAGCTGAGCCACTACATCAGACTGATAATCTGTCAGACTTGGCAAAGAGCAGATCAGATTTTAAGAGTGACCTGGCTCTTTCTTCTCTGACCATCTATTATCTGCAGGGAGACTTTGAGAAGTTGGCAGAGGACGTGAAGAATGTGAAGACGAAGCCTTCAGACCAGGAGCTGCTGGACTTGTATGGCCTTTATAAGCAGGCACTTGTTGGAGACGTTAACACCGGTATGACTTGCTGCAGATAAACAGAATCAATTCAGTGCAATGTTCACTCATTTCTGAGTCACACACTCTTGTCCTTTGACTCTGTGCTTTCACAATATTGTAGATAGACCAGGAATATTCGACTTTAAAGGGAAAGTCAAGTGGGATGCCTGGGACTCCAGGAAAGGTAACAAGTTAAAAATGCCTGTTGGTGGAAAATGGAAACATAAGATTTATTACTTAGCATTGTGACACTATAGGATGCAAGCATTCTTGTATGCTGCTATCTTAGATAAAAACAGTAACATTTTGATACTTTGCATTTTAATCCAAATGATTTGTACTCTCAGGAATGTCCAAGGATGACGCCATGTCGGCCTACATTACACTTGCAAAGGAAGTGATCAGCAAATACGGGATATAAGACTTATACTAAACTTGAGCAGTAGAATTGTTGCACAAATGTCCACAGATTACTAATTTAATTACTAAAACAGTGCAGCTGCTTATATAACAATGAGCCTTCTGTCTTCAGAGGCCATAATATGCAGGATATAGTGTTATTTTAAATTGTCCTTGCTTTAACTTTTTACACAGCTTTCCTCATTACTTTAGTGACTGAGCACCATTATGTAAAATTAAAACTATTAAATATAGATTTGCCATTTTATCTAATTTACTAACTGTAATCCATATGTGCACAGCAATATACTGTATACTTGTGTGCTTTAATATGTAGTTTACATTTAAATCTGAACAGGACAAACTAAATGCTGTCAAATGTGAACATACTAACTGCATACATTTTGAAAATAAAACCTTTCTACACGGTGTTTTGTTTTTATTACTTGAGCTTCTTTTCTATTGAGAATTTAACTTGTCTTTGCATTTGTAGAACAGCACTATTATTTGTGAAAAGGAGTGCCATTAATAATTACGTATCATTGTAATCATCAGATCCTTAAGTAAAAGTAGAAATACCACAATATAGAACTACTCTGTCACAAGTAAAAGTCCTGCATTCAAATTTTCACATTAATACAAAACTATTAACAAAATATACTAAAAGTTAAAGTCACTATGCAGAATTGCACACTTCAAAATAATGTACAGTTGCAAAAAAGTTATGGAGTCCAATCAATAAACGGAGAGTGTTGGTGTGGTTTAGAATGGTATTGACTTACAAAAACTCTCAAACAGCATCAGCTGATGTGAGACACACCTCACAAGAAAGATCTCAGAAGATCTAAGATCAGGAGTTGGTGATTTGCATGTAGCTGGGTTAAAGAGTCATCTCCAAGACTTTAGATATTCATCAGTCCACAGTTGGACATATTGTCTGTATATGGAGACAATCTGGTGCTGTGGCTACTCTACATAGAAGTGGGCGCCAAGCCGAGATCACACCAAAGGCACAAGGCAGAACGTTCTGAGGTAAAAAAAAAAAAAAAGAGCCCTGGAGTAACAGCTAAAGACCTGAAGGATTCACTGGAGTTGGTGAACATCTCTGTCCATGAGTCAACCTTATGCAAAATGCAGCACACCTGAGGTTTGCCAAAGACCTCCTTGATACTGCACAACACTATTGGGAAAATTTCCTGTGGACAGATGAAACGAAGGTAGAACTGTCTGGGAAGAACACACAGCACTATGTATGGCGTAAAAAGAGAACCGCATACCAGCATGAAAACATCATCCCAAAATAATAATGTCAGGGTGGCTGTCTGCAAGGTGAAACTCAGAACAAGCTGGGTGATGCAACAGGACAATAACCCTAAACGCTGAAGTACAGAATAGCTTTGGAGACAATCTCTGCCTATTGGGGTGGCCCATTCAGAGCCCAGACTTCAACCCAATAGTGATGGTGTGGAATGACCTCAAAACATCGTTCACCCCAGACGTCCTAAGAATATGGCCAAGCTGAAGCAGTTCTGTGAGGAAGAATGGTCCAAAATTCCTCCTGAACCTTGTGCAGGTCTAATCCATGGCTAAAGGAAGTGCTTGCTTGAGGTTATTGCTGCCAAAGATGGTTCAACCAGTTATTAAAACGCAGTTGCCATTACTTTTTCCACCATCATTTTCTATGTTTATTGGGTGTGTTCAATAAAGACATGAAAGATCATGACTGTTTGTGTTTTATCACAATATTATGTGTTGATATTTGTGACTTCAAAGATCAGATCATATTTCATGACCAATTTATGCAGAAAACCAGAAAATTGCAAACTGCCATTTCTTTTAATTGCAACTGTATATTACATAATTGGATTATAATATTGATGCATTATTGTGTATTTCATATTAATGTTGCAGATAATAAATGTGGAGCCAAATACCTTATAATTTGAAGTGCCTTACATACTTCTGTGTAGCATATGAATTTCCCACCATGGGTAATTTGTCTTATGAGTATAGCCTACTGTATTTAGTTCCCCTCCACTAACTGTCTCACCAGGCCAGGTACGCACAGTCCTGAGGAAGATCAACCCCTGCAAAGCGGCAGAACCGGACAACATCCCTGGGAGGGCTCTCAGGGCATGTGCCAGCGAGCTGGCTGATGTTCTCTCCACCATCTTCAATCTCTCCCTCAGCCAGAGCATTGTTCCCACCTGCTTTAAAACCACAACCATCATCCCCCTTCCCAAGAAGAGCCCGGTCACCTGCCTGAACGACTACAGCCCAGTGGCACTCACCCCAATTATTATGAAGTGTTTTGAGAGAGTGGTGCTGGGTCTGCACCCCACCCTCTGTTACTGGCTCCTGGACTTTCTGACTGGCAGGCCCCAGACTGGCTGGTTTGGCAACAGGACTTCAGCCAGCATTGTTACAAACACTGGCACCCCACAGGGATGTGTCCTCAGTCCCATCCTCTACACCCTGTTCACCCACGACTTGTGTCACTTCCCACAAAGACAACATCATCCTAAAGTTCGCGGACGACACCGCAGTGATAGGTTGCATCACTGGCGGGGACGAAGCAGGCTCCCGGCGGGAGGG